GCACGTGTGTTCCTGTGTGTATATAGGTCCAACGCTGACGTCAGGTGCCTTCCTCTGTCACTTTCTGCTTTATGCCCCAAGGCAGGGTCTCTCACTGAACCTGCAGCTTGCCAGTTTTGCCTAGTTGGTCTAGTAGCCAGCCTGCCTAGGGATCCCCTGTCTCTGCCTCCTGAGCGCTGGAAATGTAAGTGATCACCATACATGAGCTTTTACATGGGCTCTGGAAATCCAGACTCCAATCCTCATGCTTGCCTGGCAAGTGCTTTATCCGCCAAGCCATCTTCCCAGTCACCACCTTGATTTAAAAAAAAAAAAAATGGGACAAGTCTGGGTGGGGGTATAGCTTTGTTGATAACGTATTTTCTCTGAGAGCATCAAGTGCTGAGTTTGATCCAGGTGTGGATGTAACATGTGCACCTGTAATGTCAGTGCTGTGAAGACAGAGAATGAAGGATCCAGGGAGCTTGCTGGCTAGGTGAACTGGTAGTGAGTTCCAGGATCTGTGGGAGAGCTTCCGCAAAAATATGGTGGTAAGAGGCAAAAAATTTATACGATCTGAAGGGAAACCAGAGTATGCAAGCTGGTACAATCACTTTGGAAATCAGTATGGTGATTTCTCAGAAAATTAGGAAACAATGTACCTCAAGATCCAGCAATAACATTTTTGGGTATATCCCCAAAGGATGCTCAATCACACCACAAGAACATGTGCTCAACTATGTTCATCGCAGCATTGTTTGTCATAGTCAGAACCTAGAAACAACCTAAATGCCCCTCGACTGAAGAATAGATAAGGAAAATGTGGTATGTTTACACAATAGAGTACTACATAGTAGTAAAAAATAATGACATCTTGAAATTTAGAGGCAAATTGATGGAGCTAGAAAACATCATATTGAGTGAGGTAACCCAGACCCAGAAAGACAAATATAATATGCACTCACTCATAAGTGGCTTTTAGACATAAAATAAAAAAGAAAAACCAGCCTACAGTCCACAACCCCAGAGAACCTAGACAATGAAGAGGACCCTAAGAGAGACATACATGGATCTAATCTACATGGGAAGGAGAAAAAGACAAGATCTCCTGAGTAAATTAGGAGTATGAGGGTCACAGGAGAGCGTTAAAAGGGAGGGGGAAAAGGGAGGGGAGCAGAGAAAAATGTATAGCTCACTAAAAACAATAAAAAAATAAAGTGGATTGGAGACATGGGACATGGCTCAGTGTTTTATGCACTTGTTCCTCTGCCAGAGGACGTGGTTTCAATTCCCAGAACCTACATGGTGGTTCACAAATAGATTTAACTCTAGTTTGAAAGGGTTGACATCTTCTGTCCTCTGAGGACACCAGGTATGCATGTGGTGCACATCCATTCATACATGCAACGAAACATACATGCAACAAAATATACATTGAATAAATAAGCTTTTGTAAAAGATGGAAAAGAGGTTAAAGATGTTGATCTCTGGCCTCTACACATGTGCACACATGCACACATACATGAACAGGCATGTAAGCAGGCAATTAACTAACTAAAAAATACAAATGAATGGGGCAAGCTAATTTTCTTTAGAAGTTTCATGGCTTTGATTTCTTCACGGTGATTTCATTAGCTTCTTTGTTCTTTTTTTTTAATGTGTATTTTTGTGTGTATGTATTGTGCATGTATGTGAGTGAACATGCATCTTCTCTATTGCTATGATAAAACATTAAATCAGATCAGATACAGAGGTGAAGCTTCTCAGAAAAGCTGGGAAAGTTCGACTATTAGATAACTAACAAGAGCGTATTCATTTTTAAAGTGCAATATTGGTTTATTTCTTTTGCATGTTTACACACGTAGTATTTGTGCACATGTGCATTCATGATCACATGTATGTAGATAGACACATGTGTGCGTGGAGGCCAGCGGTTCACAGTGGGTATTTTTCTCTTCCATTCTTTATTTACCAAGGCAGGATCTCCCACTGAACCTAGAGCAGGCTAATTTGGTGAGCCTAGCCAGTCCGTCCCTGTCTCTCTCTGCTTGCCTGCCCGGGTTGTACGTGAGTTCTAGACTGAAATCCACCCTCACATTTACCAGGAAGTCCTATATCCACTTAGTCCTCTCCCCAGCCCTGAGACACTGCCTTTCGAATCTGCATCAAAAAAAAAAAAAAGTTTTTTTAAAAAATAAGTCTTTAATTTCTGTTAAGATTAACAAATCAATGAATCTGTCACTAAAGGACTATGAAATTCTCCTTCACCACACATGTCCGGAGCAGCTGGGCCTCTCAGAAGCATTGCTAGTCTCTCCTGCAGATGCCTCCGGGCTCCATGCAATTGGTGCGTTTAACTGTGTGATCTAGGGAGGATGGACAACCCCAGCCACCACCGAGAACCCTTCTTCTAGGAATCCACCTTAGGAAAAAAAGAAAACAAACAAACAAACAAAAGCAAAGAGGCTGGCACCTAATTCTCTCACGTGACGGATGAGGGGCAGTGCAGAGGCTGGCTCGCCACATGCTCTCCTCGGAGTGCCTGGCATCTTTCTTCCGCAGTGAAGATCATGAAGCCAGCTGGCTCTGTCACGCTGTACTGGTAGCACAGTGGGAAGTCACTATGGGCTAGGGTCTGGGCCTCAGCTTCACAGGCTCCGAAATTCCATTTGTCAGTTCAATGAGGAATGATGGACAGGGGGTATCGGAGTTACGCTAACCAAACTTATGGAGTCACATTTGAAAAGCAGGATGAGGGGGTGTAAGTTTTGCAAGGGGCAGGAAATCGGACCAGATCTGTCCCTTCACTAGTGGATGCATACATTCTGGAGACAAAAGTGCTGTAGAATTAGAAAATGACGCCAGAGGAGGCGGCTCAGCACTGGGCTTGTCTGACAGTTGGTCTCTTCCTGTGTCAGGTTAGACTGTTGTTGTCTTTCCTTAGATGAGAGTTGAGACACAGCAGGTGCCTACTGAATCTCTTTTTCCTTTTTGGGGGGGTGGAGAATTCCAGACAGGGTTTCACTGTTTAGCTCTGGTTGTCCTGGAACTTGCTTTGTAGACCAGGCTGTCCTTGAACTCACAGAGATCCACCTGCCTCTGCCTCCTGAGTGCCGGTATTAAACGCCTGCGCCACCGCCGCCCAGCTGAGTCCCTCTTTCCTAAGCCTCACTTAAACTGTCTTCTCCGTGTACTTTTTATTAATTTTGATTACATTTCGAAAGTTATGTCTCATCTTGTATCAATTATAACTTCTTGGCGCCTAAACGAATTGAGACCAGTATTAGGGCTGCACACTTGAAAGCATATGCTATCTTCAAAGCAGAGCAGGTTGCCGCCACATCGTCCCTGGTGACTCTAAACATAGGAGCGTTTCTGTCAAGCTTGCTCCTTAGGTGGCAGCTCTGGGAGAAAGGTTGTTCATCATAACTAGCAGCCTGTCCCTGTTCCTTTGAGGACATGGGACCAAAGGAACACAAGTTTCCTGTCCCTGAGGGGCAGCTGTCAAGCAACCCGGCAGGCAAGGTGCTCCAAGTAGGTTGTGTGAACAGAGTAGGCCTCCGTGACCCTAGAAGGGAGGCAGGTTTTAGATACATGCACCCCCAGCTGTCTTTTTGGACCGATTACCATGAGAAAGAAGAGATTGGAAGTGGTTCCAGTACGTTCAAACCACAAAGGTAAATGAAGCCTATGTAAGGTGCGGGGGGGTGGGAGCGACACTGTTCTTTGATGTGGATTCCCCTCTGTGTTGAAGCCCATGTGCTGACTTGAGACTGGCAATTTTCATTTTAACTAGATCTAGGTAGTTCTAGCTACCTCTCAAGGTTTCTTAGGGGGTGTGTACATCTGTGTGTTATATATGTGTTGGTATATGTGCAGGGGTGTGTGTGTGTGTGTGTGTGTGTGTGTGTGGACACAGACCAAGAATAAAATCCTGTGAGAATTCTAAGGGCTTGTGAGAAAACTTTATGAAAATTAGACAAGAGTCTTGTGATCTCAGTTTCTTCGAAACCCAGAATTGCCCTTGGAATGTGTTTGCGTGCTCTTCCAAAGTGGAGCGGACAGGAGTGAGTTCGCTTCAGCTTTTGCTACTCATGTATGTCTCTGTGCAGAAACATGGTTTTGCCACGTACGACTTGCCCTTGGGATTGTACACTTTACCCAGGTGGCTCACCCTCAGAGTGTATTGTGCCTGATGCTCTGAACAAAGCTGGCTATTGCATGAGACGTTAGTTCAGCTCACTTTCAGGCTCCTCTCTCCCAAGTTCATGCTGCTAACTAGAGCATTAAAGATGTGAGTACAGAGTTCAGGGGAGGACATCGTTGTCCTGCTCTATCATCCTCTCCCCTGTGCTTCTGAGTCGGCAGCTCTCATTGATTTTGTAGCTAAGCTGACAGCAAGCAAGCCCCAGCGACCCTCGTGTCTCTGGTCCCAACAGTGCTGGAGTTCCAGGCAAGCATAGCCATGGTTTTTCATGTGGGTTCTGGCATCTGAACTCAGGTCTTCACGCCTGCATAGCAGGCTCTCTTACCCATTTAGCCATCTCTCCAGCTCCATTATTCAGTTCTATTAAGGAATAAAGAACTCTTCAAGGGCTGGGGGTATAGTGTAGGGGGCATTCCAGCATCCCCAGCACCGCCCCCACTCTACCCTGGTTTGTTCCATGTGGGTGGTGTTGCCTATTTCCACCTCGTGTGCCCATTAGCTTTGAACACACAGAGAAGAAGGGATTAAAAAGGTTTTTTTTAAGCACAGACTATTGCATTCAGTTCACAAGCATCTAAATGCATGCATTGCTGAATTTTTCACTACAAAAATTAAATGTCTACAATGTTTTATTTTTCCCACTGATTGCTACCACCCCTAGGGGATGCACCTGTCAAGCCCCAGGGAAATTTCTCAAGGTTGTGGTCACATTTCCTGCCTGTGAATGCTGTTGCCTCTCATACAAATGTGACTGTGGCTCCAAACTAGCCATCCTGAGAAACCTTCTGTCTCCACCTCCAACCCCTCTGCCTCCTTTACTCTTGGTAGAGCTGGAGGCCCCCTGCTACATTTACAAGCTATACTGACTCCAAGAACCAGGAAGACATGTCTCTGCCAGTGATTTGCCTGGTCTCGCATTCAGACGAGCTGAGAGTCTGCACCTCACCTGCTGAGGAAACCTGGTGGGGAAGTGATCAAGGGGGCAGCACAAAGACCAGTGAGCACCATGACGAGGTTAGTTAATTAGATTAAACTAGGGCATTAATGAGGTAACTCATTAATGGGTGTGTGTTGGGGGTACTTTTCCAAAGATGCTCAACTGAGGGGATACCTGAATGTGGGTGGCACCATCCTTTGGGTCCTGGACTTAATAAACAAAGGGAGGAAAAGAAAAAAGTCTGCAGGATGCTACTAGCATCCTCTCTGTCTGCTTCCTGATTCGTTGAGATGTAAGCAATGGCATCCTATTCCACCACTGTGTCTCTTGTGGGATGGGCTGCATCTTCAAACTGAAAGCCAGAATAAAGCCTTTCTCCCTTAAGGGCCTCTCCTCAGATGATTGGTCACTGACCGCAGAGTCCCTTGCCTGGTAATCCATCAGCTCTTCCTAATGGAGAGTTCACCAACTCTGGCATTGTTTCTTAGCTGAGGAACAGTTATGAACCCAGGCACCTGAATCTCCATAACCACTAATCTAGGAATATATACCAACACCTTTTTTTCTGACCAAAATAGGTAAAAGACCTGACAGCAAAATATTTCCCGTTCTCCCTTTTTTTTCTTATTAAAGACTATTTTCTGTGATGAAAAGTGATACATATTCCCTCTGCACTGTCTCTTATATAAATACCAAAGGAGAAGATCATACAGGTGGAGACAACCTTCATACCTAGTGTCTTTTCAGACCAGCATTTTAGCCTTCCTTTCGTAATTCTGAGCATATTTTATATATTATAACTATACAATAAATGCATATGCAAAGATCTATGCATACCATCATATTTATGGTTGCACAGTGTTCCAGTGGATGACTGGCATAAGAAAATTGAATCATCATGTTTTAAATATTAAAATTGCATCCACTTCTCTCTTACACCATCGTATTTATGACTGTACACTGTTGCATTGAGTGATTACCACAAGTGAATTAAATAATCATATATTTTAAAAATATAGACATTGCGTCCATTTCTTACATTATGAATAAGGGGTCATTTAATACTCAGAGGATGTGGCTCTGAGTTCTAATTTGCTTACTTCCCTGGGATAAATATTTGGTGTGACGTTGTTGGGCCTAAGGGTCAGAAAGTCCGTTTCCTCCTCTAAGGATTTCAACTACAACATCCGTTTCTCCCCTAAAAAGCAACAAAACTTAACGTCTAGCCACAAATGTACGAAAGGTGCTATTTTCTGTATCCCCAACACTAGATGTTATCCGTCTTTTTAATCTTCACAGCTTTTGTGGGAAACCGGTGCCTTGACATTTTTCTCCCTGACATTTATCAAGAGGAAAATACTGTCATGAGCTTTACTGTATGACACCACGGAACTACAAAGGGCATAAGAGAAGAGGAAGGCACTTCACAGGGTGTGTTCAGAAAAAGGGACCCAGGAGAACGGCATCTGACAGCTTGGCTTATGTTTTTATTTTTCTCATTTGTTCTGAATAACTCAGGATTTTAATAAAGACATTGAAACACACATCTCCTATCTCTCACCAGTCAGTGTTATCGCCAAAGGAGCTGGATATGCAAATCTTACTTAAGTATGTGGACATGTGATTGCTCTAAACTAGGAGTGTTTTTCTGTTTTAGAACATGGCTCAAGGACTAAACCACCTGAAAGAGCTCATGAACGTTTCCTATTGTACTGCTTTAAGTCAGAGCCAGTTAGGTTGTGGACTTAGGCTAATTTCCCGACTCCTACTAGGCTTTTATAGATGATCATAGTTGTTCACCCTACTGCTTGTCTCCAGCGCGAGCCTGCAGTGTTAATTTACAAGCTCTTGGAGTCTCGCTTCTTTTCTTTCCTCCCCTCTCCTGCACGACTCTATCGCAGGCGGCTGTCACTGTAAAAGCCTGAGGTGGGAGCAGAGGCTTTTCCTCCTCCTGATGAGAAAGGTACCTTATTGGACAAGTGACACTCCACTGACAGTCACTTAGAGAGCTGTCGTGGGCTTTATCAGCACCCAGTCTCTGGCTGGGAAAAGGAATGGGCTGGGAACAGTGACAAGGATGTCTGTGATCTGAAGGCAGGCAGCGCGGTCTGTCTGAGGGCCACAGTCTGGGCAGGATGACTGAGCAAGGCTTCACAAGGCACTGTGGTGGAGAGAGGGTTGAGGTGGAGTCACCAGAGACCAGGGCAGCAACAGAAGCAGCCTTCTTGTTGCCTGGGGAGTACAGAGGGCTTGGTGGGATCGCCTCATTCATCCTCAAACCACAGCGGATGGTTTAGGTCCCTGAACACCCCCATTTCACAGATCAGGGAGAGGAAGCTGGGCTGCCTGCCTGAGTAAGCAGTACGGGTCACAGCCAGATGTAAACCAGGTCTGGCTGCTACAGAGCCTGTGCTCTCTGTCCCCAGCACTGTTTTGTACAGGACACATCAGTTAATTGCACCATTATATCAGGGATCCTAACAACTGACACCTGGCACAGTCAACATTAAGTTCTGGAAAATATTCAAGAACAGATTAAGAGATGCCCTGCTATATCACAAGGTCTCCTTGTATCTATGGGCCAGTGTTAAGGAATGCACACCACGCCATGCTTAGGTTCTGACTTGGTAACAAGCCATCTCTAGATTTTATATGAGCAATACGTACGCCCTGTGCAATGCAAGCCTTTTCATAGCTTTCTGGACACCACCCATCTGTCTGTCTGTCCATCTGTGTGTCCGTCCATCCAACCATCCCACAAACACCTTTCAATTAGTCTTCCACCATTCTTAGGCACTGAGGATAAAGCCGCGAACAAGGGGCCTGAGATTCCTCTGCAAATAAAAACTACAGAAGGCTAAATCAAAGTCAGAGCTCAAGAAAGAAAGTAAACGCAGAGGAAGGGGCCGGAAAGTATTGGAGGAGAGGCTGTGAGTAGCTCAAGTGGCTCCAGAAAGTGACAGCTGAGTCAGGACCTTAGCAAATGAGCAGAAATGGGGAGCTTTGAGTGTGTTTCCCAAGGCTGCTAAAGGGCGTAAAATGCTGTTTTATGGCAGCCAGAACCAGAGGAGTGTGCGAGGACTTGGTCAAGGCGTAGGGCCACACTTCGGGATGCTTCCGTATGCTACGCACATGCTTCATAATTAGCTCCAAACTACTAGGGCTCCAGTTGCCAGATGAAACACAGATTAGATATCCAGTCGGATGTGAATTTCGTGTAAGTAATGACTACTTCTTTAAGCATTTTCAGATACTTCCAGTAACACGCTTGTATGGAAGAGGGATTTGTCGCTTTCGCAAACGTCAAATGGAAGGGGTAGCCCGTGCTTCCATTTGCCCAAGTGAGATCAGCGCCTCCTTTTCTTCATCAATACACCGTAAATAAAAACCCTTGCTGGGCTGGGAGAAAATGATCACATCTGTGCTTTTAGGAAAAAAGAAGAAAAGACTACCGGTTCTTACAAGAATTAAATAAGAAGATGTGCAGGTCCAGAAGTCAGAAACAAAGCACAGTCTTTAAATAAAGTTTGATATTTCCCGCTTAAGATGTATCCGTTACTTCTGAGAGAGAAATCCCTAGACGCAGAAATGCAAAAGGGAGGCAATGACAAGACCTCTAAATAGCTTCTTTTGTGTCACCTCTGCTTTTCCTCTGAGTAGGCTTGTCCTCCAAAGGAGTTCACTATGTCGTCCAGCTGGGCCTTGAACTCACAGGCCCGGGAAACGTTCCTGCCTCCGCCTCCTGAGTAGCTGGGACTACAGCCACTTGAGGAGTGGGCCTTGGAGTTGCTTATAGGTGGACCTGTGTCGAGTCCTGTGTCGATTTAGCCCTTTAAAAACTGAATTAGCACCAAGCTTGGTGGTGCACGCCTTTCCTTCCAGCACTCTGGAGGCGTAGATAAGCAGATCTCTGTGAGTTCGAGACTCGTCTGGTCTACATAGTTTCAGGCTAGTCAGGGCTACCTAAGAAAGATTCCACCTTTAAACGAACAAAGAAGCAAGGACACTAGACACTGAAACTTAGATATTCTACTACAGTTTGGCAAGAGCGATGGAAATCATTATGCATTCGAAGAGAATGAGGCTGGGGAGTTTGAGAGATGAAGGGGAACTGACTTGGGTTTTAATTTTAACTTCTTGTTTTGGCTAAGCAGGAAGAACAGGCCGTGGCCAGGCACCTATTTGCTCTGTCCCCGACAGACAGGCGCACTGACAGACACAAACACATGGACTTTTTCTGAACCTTTGGAGAAACCCCACACTCCTTTATCTCTTATCTCTTTATCTCTTACTGTTTCTCAAAGGGAGGGTGCTCTCTTCCCAGAATGTGGTGACTGACACCAGAGAATTGATATTATTAGCGAGACTCTGTGACCCACTCCATAGTGTTCCGAATTTGCAAATTATCCCAGTGACAACTTCTGTGGGAGAGGAAACCCTGGCACCACCTCTGGTTCTGTCTCCTTCCATCTGAGAGAGCCCTCAGCCCCCCTCTCTGCTCGGTTTTGTAGCCTACTGGCTAGTTATCTTCCAACAGACTCCGCTGTCGGGGTCTGTCTGCTGCTTCCTCGGTATTAAATCCAGGTCATGCTCGTTTGGCAGGAAATCCACAGACAAGACGCTCGTCTCAGGAAGCCCATGCGGTCTGGTGGCTCCATCGCCGTGATGCTGTCATTTGGTCAAAGTGGCTTCTGCGAGGTTCCTCTGTGTCCTCTAACTGCTTTCTTATGGGATTTACCCTGACATTGTGAAAATAGCTTGCTATTCCCTAGTCTTTCACCTGCTCTTTTCAGCCCCCATTCAGGATTCTTGCCTAAAGCAGTGATGGGTTTGGTACTTGGAGATGTCTGGTTTTCAATCATCAAATTTACATTTATTATTTCACATTTTAATTACACTGTGAGCTTCCTCACACCTTCTCTACCTTCTTTTCCTTCTATTAATGTAGACTCTTGAATTATTTTACTCAGTGGGTTAATATCTTTTTTTCAGCATTCTTTAATTTGATATTCAAACTGTCCTGAATTTAGCTCTGGCTTACTATTAAAGGATTTGGAGTAACCAACACTGAAGTATAATAACAAGGCTTCCATAAAGGAAGAATCGTGCCACCAAGATAACACTGGCTGTTCCTAGGTATGGGGGACTTCATGTGTCCGATGAGGCACTACACACTTGGTGTGTGTTATCTCATTGATCTTTCATGACTTGGTGAGGGAGTATTGGGAAACTGAGGCCCTGAGAAAATGAGTGGGTTCAGGTTTTATCATCCATCAGAAGGTTCTGGGGGTGGCCTCTGGGACTTCGCTGTCTGTAGCAACCCCTCAAGTATGTGTAAAAACCCCAGAAAAAGACAAGACTTTGCAAGCAAAAGTGCACTGTCCAGCGGGCCGCTCACCCACTGAGCAATTCGACCTTTCCACACTTACAAACATGGCGTTTGGAAGCTGTCTCCAAGACCTTATCACTCCACGGACTTCCCCACCCAGCTTCGACAGAGTCAGCTCACCCTGGCCAGAACCCAGTGACAGAAGCATGGAGAAGGAAATGGCCCATGTCACTTCAGAAGTCACAGATCCAGCAAGGCATGGCTTGGCCATGTTCCTCTGGGAAAAGTGCTCGGTCCCTCTAGATGCACAAAAGCCACACCTGGGCTTTCTCGGAACTGACAGACTAGCAGAATGGGAATCTGCAGGTGCGCGGCAGCTCTTCACCTCTTCAGATCCCAGGTGAAGACCAGACTCAGCTCCCTTGGGGCTCCCTGGGGGCTCCCTGTGTGCTGGCCCACTAGATCTTCCCACAATACCATCTCCACCATCACTACACTTAATACAAATCGCAGATTCTACAAGTATGGGCTTAGGGGAAGGAGGCTGCTTCACGGTGGTGAAAAATAATGTCAACCGCTCCCCTGCCTTGAAGTGAAAGCACAGTTGGCACGGACGGGAGCAGCTCTGCCCTCCCAGGAGGAACAAACTAAAAATAAAGGGCACCAAGGTGCTTCCTGCCAGTCTGCAAATCCAAGAGGCAAAGACGATACCTCAACCTGGCACTGGGTAGTGCACGCCAACTCGGCTCCCTCCACCGGAGAGCAGCCATGTGGTTCGCCGAGTCAACAGCTGCCAGGCAGAAGCCCTCAGATTAACCCATAGGTGGTGTTGAACCACTTCCCATTAAGATATTTGCAAAGCAAACAAAAATGATAGCCCCACTCTGAGCCTGGGAGCTGGCCAGGAGGCTGGCTGTGCTTGTTGACACAAAGGGCCCTCTGGGGAGGGGCAGGCAGGAAGGCTACTCCTGCCCACATCCAGACTGTGTTGATCTTGGCCACTAGAATGGTCCTATCAGGGGCTGTTTATTATCTAACTTCCCGATCGCAACCTCACACAATCTCTGTTTCTCCGAAGTTCTCCAACACACTCTTCCCCCAAAGAACAAACGCAGGCCGCTCTTGGATCTCCTGATCAAGGAGACGTGTCAGAGCAGTGACTGAGAGGCTGCAACAGCATCGCCCTTAACATTGCATGTCTGACGCTTACTTGGCACAATACAGATGGAAAATATCTTGATAGATCTGTGTTCTCATAGGTAAGAGCCAGTGGCTGCGAGTCACAAAACCAATTTGGGGCTAAATACTAATAGGTTTTTTTTTTCCTTCTCATTAAACAGAGAAAATAAAATAAAATTAGGAAACGTGCAAAGTTCATGTGTTTTTCTACCTGGAAGACAATGACCTCGGCATTTTTAAATATTTGTGGTAGGATACCCACACACGAAGTTGATTTTTATATGAAGGAAAAATATTTCTTGTAACACCTCTTCCTTGAGTATCTTTTCTTAAATCCTTCACAATGGACCCGGCATGTGTTTTTGGCAGAGCGTCATCCCCAGGCCGCATATGGTGAGGGTCTCACGGCAGACAACAGATCGAAGCACTGAACTGCCAGACTTGTGCACACTCCCGGAACGCTGAGGAGGAGCAAGGTTTGAGAAGCAGCCAGAACCAACCACATGTTGTCATTATTTGAAATTGCCTTTTAGAGTAGGAAGGAGACTTTAGAGATGCTGGCGTTAGTTATAGGAAGAGAGAGAAAGAAAGAGAGAAGTGGGGGGAGACTGCGGAAATAGATTTTTTTTTTTGAAAAGTAGGGTCTTTTCAGACTGGAAATCATTTGTATACAAAAAGAGCACTCTCTTTCTCTTACTGTGCAAACCTAAAGAACTTTTTGTTGTTGCTGTTTTAGAATCTGGCTCCATCGTTCAGTTTTAGATGCTGTTTATCCAACTAGAAGTTGAATGTGGCTTTATAGACATGCAAGTTTTCTCAGGAGACAGTGACTCCAACCTTGTGACCAACTTTGCTGGTGGGAAGCAGAAGCATGACTGATAAAAACTCAGGGACAGATATTAGGGTTCTTCTACCCAAAGTTGGTGATCCTGCCTCCAGGAAACCTCAGAATGAGACTGTAATTGTGAGTTGTCTCCTCCCATCTTCTATTCCTCTCTAGGGTTGGGATTAAAGTTGTGCATCACTATCGCCCGGTTTCTATGGCAACTGTGTGGCTACTGGGATTAAAGGTGTGTGCTACCACTGCCTGGTCTGTAAGGCTGGCCAGTGGGGCTATTTTACTCTCTGATCTTCAGGCAAGCTTTCTTTATTAAAATACCATTGAAATGCAGCTACAGGAAGTGCATTAACCTAACCATAAATCTCCTGCCCACATCCACCAGTCGCTTCTGGTAAGACCTGGTGAGGCAGGATTGTTTCTGCAGTATATATGGAAAGTGGGTTGAAACACTGGAAACTGGTTCTTCACACACAGGCCATCGTGTTAGAGGCACTGAGTACAAAGCCCTGACTCTCGTAGTGGGGGAGGGGTGGGGCCCAGCTCAGAAAGGCCCAGGGTCCTGTCTAACAGGCACCCCGACTTCCTCTCTGCAGAAGTTCCTAGGCACTAATCTCTAGCGACTGACTTCAGCTTGAGAAATGATCTTAGACAGCCGCCTGCTCTCAGCTTAACTTCTGTGGGGAAAACACAACTAACAACAAACTAAGTACCTTTCTCAATGTGGGTTTGTTTTTGAGTTTGGAGGGGAGAGCTCAGAAGAACTTATTTCCTAAGTACTGGTGGCTTTGGAAGAAAGTCAGCACGTTTTGTGTAAAAGGTTAACCAGCATGCTGAAGTTAAACCTTAGAGAATGAGGAACCCCGAAAACATAGTCCCTCATCAACTATTTCTTGTCTGTTATGGCCTAAGAGCCCACGTTCTAGGTTCTGTGCGTGACACAGAAGTGAGCGTCAGTTTCAGCTCTAGTGTTGACTGTCCCTCGTGGGATAAAGAGATCACAACTAACATTTTGCTTACCTATGGCAGGCCGGGTAGTTCTGGACATGTCTATTCCCACACCAGTCATATGGGAAAGGTGAAATAAAGAAACATACTTTTCTAAGGTCATGGAGCTAGCTGGACACGGTCCTGGACAGAGACACCTTGGCTCCAGAGCTGGTGGCCTGAATTGTCTCCTCTACCAGGCAGAGGCCCCA